TGGTGAGTGAACCCAATGCTTTCACACTGAGCTGCCTTTTTTGTTTTTTCTGTTTGAAATAGAGTCTTGCTAAAATCATTAAGTTGCCCTGGCCTGGCTCAGACTTACGATCCTCCTTCCTCAGTCTCCCAGAATTCTGGGATAACAGGCTACAAATGCTAAAATTCTAATAGAGACACCTTGTAGTATCAAATATAATAGAGAAAAGGTGACAAAATAGTCTTTTCCAAATAATATTAATTGATATGAAAAATTAGGTACATGCAAGATTGTCCAGTGCTTTGATTTTTTTCATTTATCCACAATTGGGTCAAGAAATATGTATTAAATAATTTTTATGTCAATAGGTAACAATTCATGCATTTACATCGTAGCAGGTATTTTATGTGCATTATATCATTTGATCTTTACTGCAGCTGCGGTGGTAGGTGTCATCCCTATCTCTACTTTGGACTGGAGTGGGCAAAAGCATCCCAGGGCTCGGGACTTGCCCTCTGTCGCAGAGCTGAGAAGTGACAGAGTTAAGATTCAAGCTTCGGTGACTGGTTCCAAAGCCCATTTCTAACCTGCACTCTGTCTTCCAGACCTGGGTTGTGGGCACTGTTCTAGGAGTTGCAGAGAGCCAGTTTTCTTAGGAAATTTACATTTTCTGGAGGCAAAACATGATCCCCTTGACATCAGAGCTCTGAGCTGGGGCAATGAGAGAGAAGAAAACCTTAACAGTGACCAGGATGGTTTCTCTGAGGTGTTCTTGTTTCTATTACTGGGGAAATTCACCCTAAGAATGAGGAGAAGCAGTGACAGGCTTGAAGACAGGTAAGAGAAGATGAAGAAGCAAATGGCCATGGAGGAGGGTGATCTTTCCCTCTTATAGACTGGCATGTGTGGAAGTTAGGGTCTTTCCTGGGTCCTGCATTTCATATTTTTCTGAGTCTGTAGCACATATATAGAAAAGTGAATTTAGGAGCCACCCAGTGTGGTTATCACTTTATGTATTCTTTCAGAAATAACCTAGTGAATGTCTGTCTACCATGTATCCTCTAGGACCCCAGACTCTGGATCCTGACAACACTCAGAAACCATTTGTGTGGTCAAGGAAGTGTAGTGAGGCTCTAGAGAAGAAGCTATCAGTGCAGCATAGTAGCATGTGGGGTTGGCAGCGCCTGTGCCAACTCCTGACCACAGGAACATGATTAAGAAGTGTTCCCTTAATGACAGTATTGAGGCTCTTTACCTGGGAGAAGAACAGCTTAGGGGAGAAAGAGGTGATGATGTCTTGGGAAGAAGGTCCCGAGCCTTGGGTTCCTGGCAGAGTGTACCTTGGTCTTAAATATTGTTCAGGAAATTTCTAATTGACTGTATGGAAGTTCTGATTGATTTCAGTGAGTTTTGCCTTCTCCAATATTTGATAAAATTCTATCTTCATCTGAGTGGACAAGTGAATCCAGAGATTGAGGACTGGCAAGGAATACTTTATAGCTTCTAACTCCCTGCAACTCTGATAACATGAAGTGCAGAAGAATAATCGACCATAATAATCAGGGTTCCCATGAGCCATCAGGAGCAGCATCAAGGATTCAGTGAAACATGGGGAGGAGGACTGGTCTAGCTAATTGACCTCATTGGGTAGGGATTCTCCTAGATCCCTGCTGTCCTTGGAAACCCCATAGATGGCATTCTTAGAAGGACCTCCTCAGCCCTGAAGCTCCTAGTGAGCTCACTCCTCAGGTTGACCGATGCTCATAAAGAAGCATCTTCAAGCAGCCCTATGAACACTGGGAGGAAGTCATCCTCACTGGCTGCAGAGGATTCAGATGCTATCTGAAAGCTCCTGTGCACATCCCAGGTCTTTGCTTAACTGCCCAGAGCATCCCCTCACAGTGTGACAGGACACAGAGGACCAGATTCATCTCACTCAGCTGAAGACTGAGGAGGGCTGGCATCCTGCTCACAGCCCTCTGGACCACCTAGGGGCTGTGTTAGAAGTAGGATCCCCATTTGAATGAAGGGATCTTGCAGCCAGCTGCAGCTCCGCCCCTCCTCTTCTCAGCTACTTACATCCCACTCAACTGTCAGGATCCAAAGAGTTCCTTTCTCCACTTGTTCCATTCATCACTTTCAGCACCACTATCCATGCATAATGAATGGCTGCTTCCTTAGCTTTCTCAGAGCACTTATTTACTGCTCTGTTACAATACTAATCAAGGCCTAAATTGCTTTATTACTGCTTTGCAGGCATATAATGTTAGCTTAGCAATTTTGTGCTACTTTGGAGACATTATTCTTGTGTCTTTTCCAGCTTCTAATATTCTCATGGAGAATCTAATGTCACTCTATTGCTATCCTTGGCTACTAATGTGTGTCTTCATCGAGTAATTTTAAAATGATGTCTTCATCTTTGGTGGTCGTACTTGCAGACATCCTTTTGTTCCATCTATTTGGGATTTTTAAAGCATTCTTGATATTTGGAAAACCCTCAACTGTCATCTTTTTGGATATTGCTTCTTTTTCAGTCCCTCAAGGATGTCTGTCTAGATTTCCAATTATGGTTGACATCTTTATTTGATCTTCAATATGTCTTTTCCCATTATAAAATATCTCCAAAATTTGCTTTGCATTTCCCGATTTTATTCTGGTTGATGTATTTTGCCCCAAATCTGGTTCATGGATACACACTCAGCTGTGGATGTGTCTAATTCTGTGTGTTGAATCTTTAAGCTCTCTGAGCTGAGAAGCTTGTAAGCTCTCCGAGCTGAGAAGCTACCTCTCTTTCAGTTTGATTTAGTATCTGGGACATAGCCAGTGAGCAATAAGTGTTTGATGAAAAAAATTGAATGCTATATTTGACAGGCAGTTGTTAAACCAATCTTCTGGGCAACCCAAGGTAGAAACAGGCTGAAATGTAAATTGGGATCCAGTGGCAAGGAAGAAGTGACCATGGTAACTCAATGCTTACAGATATGGTGTAAACATCTGGTGGCTTGCTCTTCTCTGTTGTTAAAGGGTAAATTAGCTCAGCAGAAGCATGTGGCAGGTGTGCTCAGTAGCCATGGCCAACCCTCTTTTTCAAATAAAACTCTCAAATGTCATCTTGCTTATGCAATGCAAATTAGGGCAGGCAAAGAGCTGGAGTGCCAAAGTACAAGTTGAGAAAAAGCTACTTTTGGATTGGGTTACCTCACCCAGTTTGGTGTAGGTATAACCCTGATATCCTCTGTTACTTAGAAACCCATGGAGGAAGGTTACCATCAAGAAAAAGGAATTTGGTATGTGTCAGAAAGCTTGTTCAGACCAGTAGTGGTATCTATCTCATCCCTGCACCGGGTGAGTGGGATAAGGATGGGCAAACGATGCCTATAGAAATTCCCAGTGCTGCTGTTAATGCAGCAGCCCACCTCTTTGAGCCCAAACACAAATCCATTGCTGTTCTTTTTCCAAAGCAGAGGCCCCTCAGATGCTGGGCCCAGGTGCTGATGGCCACAATCATGCACAGGCAGGGCCACAACCCAGAAAACACACGCATGACTTCAGAGGGGGTTTCCTGGTATGCTTTGGCAAGGGTGGAGTGTGGGAAGGGTGAGTCTCTCGCTGTGGCATTCAGCATCTGGCAGGGACCCAGTCTTCAGGGGGAGGTTCTTGGTCAGAGACAGGAAAGTGAGACTTCTGGGCAGTTCTGCAAAACAACCTGTGATGCCAGCTCTTGATTTTGAGACTCCACCAAAGAGAAAGGAATCTCAGCACACAGTAGGGTTGCCCCTCACAGCTTATGTGATTATCAGCCTAATTTGTGTCTTCTCCTGTCTGTCAGTGCAGCTACATAGAACAGTTCCAAAGCCACAAAGAAATAGCTGCCTGCTATTCAAGAGAACATCTGAAACAGATCTGCATTCCTGCACCAAGCATATTGGGGAGTGTTGGAGTGATCCTAAAAAGTTTCATCAAATTCTCCTGATGAAATCATTGTAGTAGCTTTATTATTACTAATAGGCATATATCAAAAAGCATGCAGTAGTGGCATCTGATAAAGCCAAACATTATAGGGAGACTGTCCAAACTCAGAAGCCGAGAATATGGACTGATTTCAATCCAAGTAAGACACAAACTCACAGCTGGATGGCCCCCCAGGTCCCACGGGGCTCCCCAATCTCAAGTCAGCAGAGAGTAGCAGATGGCAACCCCAGCAGGTTCCATCTGATTTCCTCTGCTTAGAAATCTGCCTTATGTCAGCTGGGGATTTCAGCTCTTCCTGATGGCAGTGATTTCCAACTGAACCTATGATGAAAAATAAACTTCTGAACTATTAAAATTCACAAAGCTGTAAACAGTTTAAGGTGTAAAGAGCTTTCAAGGTACTTTGCACATGTGATTATTGTCTGGTTTTTGGGAGAACAATCATACCTCTAGAAAAAAATTCAATATACTTACCAAATTGAAATAATCACACCAAGGCCCTGTGATTTATTGTCATCACAGAGGTATGAATTAAAGGAGATGGCCAGGATGAAAGTGATTTTAAGTATGGAAATGATGCCACCATCTTTTCTTATGGCTCTTAAAGGAAAGGGTATAAAAGGAAATTTGAGGTAAACATCTTTGAGTTTCAAAAATTGGGCTTGGAACTGTGGTACAATGATTTGGATATTAGATAGAAATCTAGACAGAAAGCAAGGGAAGGATTCTGTGCCCAGGTGGAATTTATTGCTCATCATGAACATTCTGGGGCCACCAAGTTGGCCCCTGACAATTTCTTCATGCTTTAAGGAAAAGCAAGTAACTACCTGTTTCGCATGGGAGCTCCCCCAAACTAGGCCTAACCAAACAAGTCTCCCAAATAACTCTCTGAACAGAGGAGACATGAGGAACGTCACCCTCCTCCTGAATCCAGCGGAGAAGTTAGCAATGATGTGTCCAGTACAGATGGGAAAAGATACCTTTCCTCCTGAGACCAAGTTTCTAGCTATTTAGACTTCTGGAAAGATTTAGAATTTGGATTTTTGCAGGAGCCATGTGAGGAGTCCTACTTGAGGGGAGATGTACCCTGATGACCCAGGAATGAAGTAAGCTGAGAGAAACCAACTGGAAATGCAATCCTGATGCTATAACAGGAGCAGATAAAATCTCAGTGAGGAAGCTGGATCCTGCACCATTGGAAGCCACGATTTGAATTTCCTGCTGCCAATACTGCGTCCCAATCCCCACGGCAGGGAGAGAGATGCGTAAAAGCTCTGAGAGCTGGAATTGGCGAACCAAACGGCATTGAGAGCGGGACTGGCAGGGAGCCCTGCATCGACCTGTGGTGAGTGAGAGAAATGGGGACCCTTTCATAGACTAGGAGGCTCCAACAGAGGACATTCTGGGAATGAGCAGACTAGCCGGAACAGGGCCCTGTGTGACTTTAGTCGCATATTCCCCTTTCAAGCAGGAGTGGTGGGGAGTGCTTGGCCTGGTGACACCGCGGACTAAGATCCTGTAGGCTAGCCCAAATCAGGTTCCTGCATCTGGCGGTGCACCCTAGCAGTGAAACATTCAGTAGGTTGACCTGCAGGGACGGGCCCAGCAGAGGCTGCCCAGGTCTGTGCCTCTCTAGTACACTGCAGTGGGTGGGAACACCTAGCCAGCGGATTCAAACAAACTGCAACAGACAAAGAGAAAAAAAAAAAACCCAAAACTGGGCCTCCTACATATGCTTGTATGGAAGGAACAAAAAGTATGGGAAAAGGGAACAACAAGAAAGGGTCCTCAGTACCCAATCCTGAGAACACTGATCCAGGAAAGGTAAATGCAAAAGAGAATGAAGACAGAAAACATGCAGTATCAGACATGGCACCTATAGATATAAAGCAGTATCTCCGGAGCCTCATAGATGAGTTAAAAAATGAAGTATTTAATGAAATAAAGCAAGAAATAAGTAGAATAGTTAGAGTAATGCTAAGCACCTCCCAAGAAAAAACAGATGGTGGAATGGAAGAACAGAAAAAAGGGGAGAATTGTTTGATGGAGAAAATAGAGAAAACATAGAATACGTGAAGCAGGTTCACAGAGATTACCAGGAAACTAAAAACTCTATTGAAAGCTGACATAACAGCTTGAAAGAAACTAAGGATAGATTATTAGAACTGGAGGACAGATTTGTAAGGTGGGAGCATGAAATGAAAAACTTCTTAAAAATAACAAGAAAACAAACAGCAATAATACAAAGACTAGAAGATGATAAGAGGATCTATAACTTAAGAATTAAGAACATAAAAGAAGAAGTAGGGACTCAAACAAATGAACTACAAAAGCTATTCACAGAAATAATCCAGGAGAATTTCCCTAATTTAGCAAAAGGTAAAGATACTCAGATGTATGAGGCATACAGGACCCCAGCCACCTACAACCAAAACAGAGCTACACCCAGGCATATAATAATCAAAATTCCAGAAATCCAATATAAGAACAGAATATTAAAAGACATCAGAGACAAGAAACAGATCACTTACAAGGGAACACCCATCAGAATTACAGCAGACTTCTCAGCACAAACCATCAAATCACGGAGAGCATGGGGGGAAATAATTCAAGCTTTGAAAGATAATAACCTCCAGCCAAGATTGATATATCCTGCACAACTGTCCCTAGAAATTGATGGAAAAACAAGGTGCTTCCAGGATAAAGAGGAACTAGAGGAAGTTGCAACCACCAATTCAACTCTACAGAGATCACTGCAAGATATTCTAAAAATGAAAAATACCAAGATTCCAAGAACAGTGGCAGAGCGGCCACAATGAATGGAGCAGAAAGCGAAATGAAGAGAACAAACTGACAACTAATGAGAGAAAAAGAGCTCAACCGAAATGAGGCAGAGAAGGTTGGATGGTAGGAACAGCTATTTTGGAGAAAACAAGACATCATAATAGGTAGTGCTGATTTAATATCCTCTTGTTTTGAAGTCCCATCAAGCTTTTGTTCTTCTGTCTCCATCAGTTTTAACGTGTTGTATCTTATTGGATTTTATTATATGTGATAATATAAACAAAAAATTTTATAGACAAGGAGATCATACAGAAACCATTGTTCATTTTCTGTTAGTGGATTCTAAATACCCTGGAATACTGTCATCCTCTTGAACAGTTTTACATTGTCTTGATATGTTTGATGCTACAGTATACGAAGTTATACCCAAAGATTTTAAGGGAAGAGACATTATGGTAACTACTATTATGTCGAGATTATCTTGTGGTAAAGCACTATTTTGCTTAAATGGCTTTGTTTTGACCTGCACTGTTTTGTTGTTATGCCCTCTTTTTTTTTATCTCAATCTCCTTTTTATTATCTACTTTTTCATTTTTATCCTTTTAATTAAGGGAAAAATAAACAATAGCAGGATATATTATAGTAACCCACTTGATTTCCTATTAACTTGATTTGAAACTCTGCATTGCTCTCACCATCTTGTTTTGACTGATTTTCTTCTATTCTGTTATGTTAGATAGTACCAAGTTTGAAAGTAGAGGCAACAACTATGAAGACAATAAGATTCATTGTGACGCCCATTCTGGTTGACTATTATCTTCTTTTGAAGTCCCGTAATTTCTCCAATGTTTTGCTTTTATTGGTCTTTTCTTACTGTTTTGTTCAATTTTATTATAACTGATGGTATAGGCAATTATTTTTAAGATAACAAGAGGCATTATGGTAACCATTGTTGATCACCTTGTATTTTGTTTTTACATTATGTATTATGTCCATCCTTTTGATTTGACTGAGTCTGTCCTGGTATGTCACATTTGGTTTTACTTTCTTCAAAAAAAAAGTGTAATAAGAACTGTCAAAGCAATAAAACCCAAAATGTGTAATTGTCCTTGTAGAAAAGAAAGGAAAAGAAAGTTCTCTAAAAGATATAACTGCATATATATTTAAGTGTATAAGATAGATAACCATATTACTGAGTTTTGTTGGATCATTGAACAAAACTGTTTGTAGCCTCACTGTTTGAAAGTCCCCTCTATATGCTTTAATTTTGTAACTTCAACAACTATTTCTAAGATGACAATATGTAATCAACTAGTGATTTCCTACTGTTTATTTTTTCTGAAATTCTGTATAACTTGTACCCTTTTTCTGTTTTTTTTCCTTTTTTCTCCTTAAATAAAATTTAAAAAAAGAATTTGAAGTTTTATATGTGGTTTTCTAATTCTCAAAGACTGATGTATACAGTAAGTCTCCATTCTTGGACAATTGTTCATAAAATTCATTTGTAAGCCTAACTCTAACCCTAATCTGACAAAGTGAGTCTTATACAGTACACCTGTGAAAGTTTGCAACCCAAATAATCATAAGGTGGGGACTTACTGTAAATAGCCATAATGTGGCCCAAACAAATTATGACTCTAGGCTGAACTTGAGAGGCTGGCTCTGCAAGACTGCAGTTTTTATAAATCAGTGGTTACCAACTTTTTTGGCACATAGGATCAGTGTCCGTTTCTTAGAGGACAGTTTTTCCACAGACTGGGATAGGAGATGATTTGTGGATCATTTAACTGTATTACAATTTATTGGGAAGTTTATTTCTATTGTTATTACATTGTGATATACAATGAAACATTTATATAATCACCATAATGCAAAATCAGGGGAAGCTCTGAGCATATTTTTCTGCAATAGACAGTTGTATCTGGTGGTAAAAAGAAAGAATGACCTCCAGAGGGTTGTTTTTTATGTCAAGTTGACTCCATAATCTTGTTTTTCCACTCACTGATTAGTTTTTTTTTTTTTTTGTTTTTTTTTTTTTTGTCTTTTTCCTGTTTATCAGTACTGGGGATCCAACTCATGACTGCCTGCTTGCAAGGCAGGCGCTTATGCCACTGAGCTAAATCCCCAGCTCCTCACTGATTAGGTTTTAATATGAATCTGGGGGCCAGGGGTTTGGCTCAGTTGTGTAAGCACCTGCCTGGCAAGCGCTAGGTTGTAAATTCAATCCCTGGTACCAAAAAATAAAACAAAACAACAACAAAAAATGAGCCTCCAAGTAAATGATTTATTATGATCTCTATGCAGCAAAAACCTCCCTGCTAATGTCAATCTGTATTTGCAGCTGCTCCCCAGTGCTAGCATCACAGCTCTATTTCAGACCGTCAGCCATTAGATTCTCTTAAGGGGTTGTTATTTAAAGTGGACTTATTTTGTTATTTAAAGTAAACTTATAACCTGAGATGCTTTATCAGTTAGGGTTCACTAGAAGAGCAAATCTAACATAAATATATGAATATAAGATATATAAAAGATTTACAAGGTAAGCATATATTGGCCACCTGCAGTCAGGAGTGGAATATTGAAAAGGAGCTATTGGGATAGATAACAACTGGCTACAGAGGCTCTCTGAAATAGTCAACTTAGAATTCAACATATACAGTGTGGGGAGCTCCAAACAGAGGGAGATGAATTCTCTTGTCCCAAGAAAAAATTAAGGTGACTTGCCAACCATCCAAGGTCCCCTCCGCAGCTTGAGGAGATCCGGCTAAGACTTGCGGAGCTGTCCAAGGTCCCACTGCTTCCACATTGAATTGGGGGGCCAGCAAGCCAAAGGGAGAGCTGAGTTGGCAGGGTGCCTACATAGACCTGTGGTGAGTGATGGGAGTGGAGCCATTCCATAAATATGGGGGCTCTGGTGGACAACATTCTGTGACTGGGCAGGACTGGCAAGTACAAGGGGCAGCAGCGACTTAAGTCAATCGTTCCCTTCTGGAATGGGATTGGTGGAGTGAGCTTGGTCATCTGACCTGGCTGAGACTCAATAGGTTATCTGAAATCAAGTCCCTACAGTGGTGGCTCACACTAAACACACTAACCCAGTGAAATCTCAGAAGTTTGACTGACAGTGCAGGCCACAGCAGCTTGACTGACCTGGAGGGGAGGTGGTGCAAAGAAATGCAGTGCACGTCACAGCAACTTGACTGATCTCCATGCTGCTGCCTCCTGTGCCTCCGGGCTGTGGGCGAGACCTGTTGCCGCAGGCCTGGGAGTGGCTGGGTGCCCACTGGCTGCCCCTTATCCTGACCCTGCCATAGCTGCTGACCCGGAGGGGCGGCAGCGCAAAGTCCATCGCTGCTGCCACCATCACCGGCACCCCCACTGACCCTGTGCTCCAGCTGCCACCATCCAGAGGGGAGGTGATGCTAAGTAATACAGTGCAGGCCACAGTACTTGACTGATCGAAAGGGGAGGGGCCAGCACATGCTGTCCCTGTCTGCAACTCACTAGCACACTGCAGTGGGAAGGGTCATCTAGCCAGTGCACCTCAGAACAATTGTAACCAACAAAGAAAGAAACAGCACCCCCTGGAAGAAGCAAAAAAGATGGGGAGAGGAAGCAACAAAAAGTCCCCAGGTCCCAACCCTGAAAACATTGACCCAGGACAGGTAAATACAAAGCAGAATGAGAACAGCAAACATGCAATATCAGACACATCGCCAGTAGACATAAAGAGATATATTTGAGACCTCATAGACGAGTTCAAAAGTGAAATATGTAGCCAAATAAAGTAAGATATAAGAAAATTAAAGAGATACTAAGCACCCCTCAAGCAGACACAGGTGGAAGAAGGGAGGAACTCAAACAAAGGAGAGAAGCATTTGATGAAGAATATAAAAAAAGTATAGAATACATGAAGCAGATTCAAAGAGATCACCAGGAAATTAAAATATCTGTGGAAAGATGGCAAATCAGCTTGAAAGAAACTAAGGATAGATTATCCAAACTGGAGGACAGTTTTGCAATGTGGGAGTAAGAAAGGGAAAACTTTTTAAAATAACAAGGAAACAAGCAGCAACAATACAAAGGCTAGAAGATGACAAAAGGATCTATAACTTGAGAATGAAGAAGCAGGGGTACAAGCAAAGGAATTACAAAGATTATTCACAGAAATAATTAAGGAAAACTGCCCAAACATAGGAAAAGGAAATGACATTCTGATATATGAGGCATACAGAACTCTAGCCACCTACAACTAAAACAGAGCTACACCCAGGCATATAATAATCAAGATCCCAGAAACTCAATATAAGAACAGAATATTAAAAGCTGTTAGAGACAAGAAACTGATAACCTATAGAGGAAGGCCAAGCAGAATAACAGCAGACTTCTTGACACAAACCATCAAGTTAAGAAGATCCTAGAGTGACTATTCCAAGCCCTGAAAGAAAATAACCTCCAGCGCAGATTGATATACCCTGCTAAATTGTCTCTAGACATTAATGGAGAAACAAGATGCTTCCAAGACAAAGAGGAACTTGGGAAATTCGTAACCACCAATTCAAGTCTACAGAGAATACTGCAGGGCATTCTAGAGACATAGAAAAGTACTAGGATTCCAGAAACAGTGGCAGAGAGGCCTCAATGAATGGAGCAGTAAACAGAATGAAGAAGATAAGCAAACAACTGATGGCAAACAAGAGCATAACAGAAATGAGGCAGAGAAGATTTTTTTCAAAACCGATAGGATTGATAGTATGAAGTCTGAGAGTATAGACAGCTACACTGAAGATGACAAGACTCTACGATACACATTCTGGTTTGATAACTGCTGGGCTTTGAAGTTCTATATTATATAGAAAGTTGTGTTTTTATTAATTCTGTTATGTACTGATATATTCAATTATACTATGTCTGATGATATAGCCAATTCTATTGGAGATACAAGAGACAACACAGGAACCATGGTAGAACTCTTTGTACAATGGTCTTATATGTTTATTTCATTTCATGTGTTTATAGGAATATGTTTTGTTTTGCCATGCTTTGTTTTGTTTCTCCCTTTAATATGGAAAGGATAGAAATACATGTTAAGACTCATGCATGTGTAGAATCTGTAAACAGCTTATGAGAACAGATCTTATGATACATGATGAAATGAACAGATACTTTGAAGAAAAAAAGACACTAAAATACTCAGCGCTGATCCTGGAGTGTCATAATGTGAAACCCAGCAATAGCATTATTCTTTGTTTAGAGTGATATTAGCCTGCATGGGTTTATTCAATGTCAACATAATTGAAGATAGGGATAGCTACATGTATGTTTAAGTGTATAGGATTGATAACCATATTTCTAAGTTCCTGTTGGATAGTTGAACAGAACTGGTTGCAATCTCACTGTTTGAATTCCCACTTTACATACTCCACATTAGTATCTTGAATAACTATTTGTAAGAAGACAATCTGTAATCATCAACTAGTGATTTCTTACTGTTTATTTTTTCTTTGAAATTATGTATTATTTCTACCCATTTTCTGTTTTGTTTAGTCTTTCTTTAAATTAAATTAAAGAAAAAGGCACTACAGTATCCAGTGCTGATCACAGAGTATTATGATATGAAATCCAGCAATACTATTATTCTTTGTTCAGAATGATTTTAACCTGCTTTAGTTTGTTTAATCTAAACATAAATGAAGATATGGATAACTGCATGTATGTTTAAGTGTATAGAATTGACAACCATGTCACTAAGTTTTTGTTGGACAGTTGAGTTCCCACTTTACATATTCTACTCTTGTACCTTTAACAATTATTTGTAAAATGACAATATGTAAACATCAACTAGTGATTTCTTACTGTTTATTTTTTTCTCTGAATGTATGTATTATTTCTACCAAAAAAAAAAAAAAAAGAAAGAAAGAAAGAAAGAAAAGGAGCTATCTGCACACTGGGAATATCCAGTCAAGAGACAAAGGCCTAGAGCTCACTTCAAAGTGCCATGTAAGTCCGTCTCAGGAAGCCAAAGGGTCTTTCTGGGAGGACTGAGGAGTCTCAGCTAGAGGCCTGGAGATAGATGCCCAAAGGTGATGGCAAAGACTAGAGCTTCTCCAAAGAAACAGAATCCAGACTTCCCTCTTCTTTCCCTTTCAGTTCCTTGCAGGCTGAAAGCCTATTGGTTAGTAGCGCATCCAGGATGGGTTGTGCCCCTTCAGTAAGCCCGTCGTGCAGAAACATCCAGAACTATGCTAAACTAATCAGCTGAGTGTTTTTCATTCAAGTTGACACCACAGTTAGCTATCACGGCTGCGGGGGGGGACTGGTAAAGGAGGAAAATTAAAGATGCAGTGTTCAAGACTGTAAATAATGGATCAGGACCCATGAGAAGATCAAATGATATGAGAGGGACTCCAAGTC